GACTTAAAAGCTGTCAAGATTAAGAAGTTTTAAATGCGATGAATGGGATTATAAAAATAGAGAAAGCATATCCCTGGTTGAATCAAAAGGATCCTACCGAAAAGGTAGTTACATTCCAAGAATCTCATAGTTTTTCTTCAGACCCCGGGAGCAGCAACAAATATGGAGATTCTTTGGCTATCTCAGAGAGAGGGAGAGGAATGCAATAAAGATAGGAGCAACACTTTTTTGGAGCATTGCCCAATGTTAAGATGGTCAGGATGATGCAGAGGCTGATGCAACTCCCTCGTATTCAAGGAGAAGATGGATTTGATAGTAAATTTATCATCTCATGAACTAAATGTAAATGAGAAATCCATCTTAAGCAGCAGGAATTGGGAAAATGTCCATAGCTGTATTTATTGGCAAGCAGAAGCTCAGCAACTCAGCAGATGACTTCCTACAAAGGGAAGACTAGGACTCCATTTGGTTCCTACTGAGCTATGGAGGGAAGCACACCCAGACAATGGAGCAGAGCTTCAACTGCAGTTCAGAGATGTTTTTTAAGGAGACCACAATTGCCATATGTACAAAGATAAAATTGACTTTTGTTGCTGTGCTCATATTTGCTTCTCGCCCCATGTGACCCCCAGAAGGGAATGTGGTCCTCTGGCTGAAAAGAGTCCCTTGATGTAGGGAGACACTTGAAACATGAAACTGAGAGGTGTAGACATCTCATATAGCTAAATATAAATGACCACAGATGTTGCAAACCTCCCAGCAGTCAATGGAGGCAATTTAAGCATCCTTGTTCAACCTCATAAGAGGGTTGAGATCAAGGTCACACCCACACATGGCTTCCCCCAAAGAATCATGGGAACTGTAGTTCACCCCTCAAATAGCTACAATTCCCAGCACCCTTAGCAAATTACAGTTCCTAGGATTCATGCCCTTTAAATGGTCCAAGTGTGGAAATAAGTCCAGACTGCTTCCTTTTTTTCAAACGGTGTATTGTTTCTGCCACTGAAACATGTATTTGGACTATTTCAGATTTTTTTTTCATTTGCTGTGTACTGCTAAAATTAATAAAAGATAAGGAGAGCCTTGCAGGGTCAGGCCAAAGGCCTCTCTAGTCCAACACTGTTGACCAACCAGATGCCTCTTGAGAAGGCCTCAAACAAGACGTGAGTCCCACAGCCCTCCTGATATCAAGTTGTTAGTCTTGATATAAAACCCAGAGCGTTGGCTTTCTGTCAGGCAAACAGATGTATTTTCAGGATGTGTGCCATTGTCAGGAATAAACTGGTACCTATTGCACAAGAAAATAGGTGCCTATGCCTAATAAATAGGTAGAGTTGGGAATTCTGGAGTTGGGCCTAAGGACTCATTCATGCATTCATGTTAATCACTCAATGACTGCCAGATGAAGTGATGACTTCTAATTGTATAACCATCATGCATCATTCACTACAACCAGAGCTTTCATCATATTACCTCTCAGCCACCATCTCAGATGCCATCTTTTCCAACAGGGGCAATCCACACCTTCAAAGGCAAGGCTCGGAGTGACCTCAGCCAGTCACATGTGTGAGTCATTGATCGTACTATGGACCCATTAGGGAGGTTATACAGACCTGCTGCAAAGAAACTGCAGACCAGGGAAAATTCCTGACTGAGAAACAATTATTTTTGCACTTTTACCAAGCTCATTGGTCACTAAAACTGTTACATGTCTTGTAGTGGCAGCAAATGTCCATAGTTTTTTTTTTTAATGGTAATTAGTCACTGCTTCAGAAAAGAAAAGAAAAGTCACCGAAGCTTTTCTTTTTTACTAATATGAATTGTTATCAGGGATGGTAAAGCTCACTCTCTCCATTTCTCTCTTTGTCTCCTAAGCTCTGTCTCCTTTAAATTAGCTTCCTCTGTTTGCAGGTAAGGAGGGGCGCCACAGCACAGAAAGCTTGTTATGTATTCGCTGCATGCCTAACTGCAGAACCAATTGTAAGCCGCTGCTCACCTCCCCCCACACCCCAGTTAAATAGAGGTTTACCACAAACTGTGAAAATGGATGCTTCATATTTTGAATGAAAAGGGTAAATCAAATACAGCCTTTCCCTTGGTGCATGCACCTCACTGCCTCTGGAGATTATGCTGAACATTGCTGTAGTGTGTGGCCTGCCTCATGCCTGTCCAGTGATTGATTTCATCCATTCGCCGCACCCCTGCAGGCATTTACCTGATGTGGTTCACGCACTGCAAAGACCCCAATACATCTTTGTTAGCCAAATCTATATGCATGAGAATACACATGCACACACAAACAAACATATATATGTCCTTCTACCAACTGCGGATCAAAGATGCATGAAATATTGAATAGCACCTAGACTGGAGGAGGAATTTAAAATATGATAAGCACAGACGACACTATAACATTTGTATAATGAACATTTCCATCACTATTAAGATGCCAAAATAAAAATTAACCTGCTGGAAGATTTTTTCTCTCTCTCTCTCATTTGCTGATGATTCACCTTGACTTTGTGTGATATTAGGGAGGGAGGGAGGGAGGGAGAGACAATATAAAAACCAAGGTTAGATTTTGTTTTTGTTCCATTTTGTGCACATCAGGTTGATTGTAAACGATGCCTCCCATTTGGCATTCAGAAATATTGCCTTAAAAACCCTCCGTTCCCAAGGGGGGTGGATTCTCTTAGCAATTCAAAGGAGAAGGAGGAGGCAGAGGGAGGGAGGGAGGGGGGAAGAGAATGGAGCATATGATAACCGTCTATGATTTTGCCTTGGTAAACAAGGGGTTAAGTATAGCAGTTGAAGGCTGCAAGCTTTGTCAGGGTTGTACTATTTTTCTAATGCACAAGGAGAAGGGAGGCTAGGAGACAGGAGACAGGGGGAAAATCCAGGGAATGGAGAATCTGAAGCACACCCTGAAGGGATGATGATGGTGATGGGCATCAAGAAAGATAACAGGTCAGGTGCATGCAAAAATCTCTGTCTTAAGGACTAAGACTAAAAGGTGGTATTTCATTTGCCTCCCCTCCCTTAGTTCTTGAATCCTGACTCTGAGTGGTTAAGGAAGGCGGCTGTCTACTGCTGAGGATGGGATGCCAGGGAGTCTCTCTTGGGGAGCAAAAATCCTTTGGTTGGGCTTAGCAACAAGAAGGCAAAAAACCCACAAAAAAATTGCAGTATCCCGAGAAGAGAACTGAATAGTCTCCTGTGGCTCTCAGTGAGGTGGGCATCCACTTAGACCAAGCCAGAGGCTGGACAGCTGGGAATGCTGCATTGTGCTAAGGACATGGAAATCTCAGCGGGGGCTTCTGGCTGAGACCTCGAGCCCACATGGGGTCTTCTTCAGGTGCTTAGGAGGGCCAAGCCTTTCCAGGACATGTCCTGCATGTGGAATGAAGTCCAGAGCTTCTTTGATGTGGACCCGGCCGCAGCTGGATGAGCTCTGCGTGGCAGAGAGCGTGTTGCACTGTTTCTCTTGCTGAGAGGAGGAAGATCAAGAGGGAGACCACACTGCAGAGGACCCTGCGCCAGCCAGGCTGCATAGACCGAGACAAGTGCCGAATGGTGTGTAGACTACCACTTCTACCCTCAGCAAGATACAGCTCTCTCTCTCTCTCTCTCTCTCTCTCTCTCTCTCTCTCTCTCTGTGTGTGTGAAAGAGTGTGTGTTTGTGTCTCTGTGTGAGAGAAATATAGCTCTGTTTTTATGCCACCACAGTTGATCTCCTTGTTTCATCCAAGATAGCTAGAGCTTGCAATACAGCTCTGTGAGGGAAGGGCTACATTTGGACAAAAACAAACAACCCCCCTCCTGGTCTTCTTTGCAGATGCTGTTTTAAAGCCCATCCAGCACTGTCTTACTGCTGGTTTTCCAGGCAACGTCACACCTCTTGAGGACACTGAGGACATCAGGGTTTGTTTGTTTTTTGCTGAGTATAGCATCTTTCCACTATCATACAGAAGGATTTCAATTCACACAGGCACTGCCCTGAGCAAAGGGCTACAAGAACTACCAAAAATTCTTTCCAGTCACCACCTCATTGCAAACCTCCACCCTCCTCTCTCTTTCTTTCTTTCTTTCTTTCTTTCTTTCTTTCTTTCTTTCTTTCTTTCTTTCTTTCTTTCTTTCGACTCACCATATTGCCTGAGGAACTTATGGGAATCTTGGAAACCTCTGTGTTTCTCTCTAAGGTCATGGAGTCAGTGTGAGAGACACTGAGCTCTCCTCCATCAAGGTAAACGTGTGCCTTGTTTTTTGCTTGCTCTTATTCCTTAGGCAATTGTTAAGAGAAGAGCCTCAGTACAGAAATGCAGCAGGGGAAAGCACTTGCACACTAGAAAACAGCGGAGAAGGAGGGGTGGGAGGAAGGAAGGAAAGAAAGAAAGGGAGGGAGACTGGACTGCAAAAGTCAAAAGAGATTAAGGTAGGGATGCAGCATGTTAAATGTGCACGATGCTGTTTGATGAAACAGAGTGCTTAATGTTTACCTCTGAGTCACCAGGGTATTCCTTGAGTTGAATGCTCAAGTCCCAGATGCCGCATGGGCAAATCTTAACACTTCAAGGCAGTAGCAAACTCTAGGCAGCCTTTGAAGTTCTTTGAATAAACTGTTGGCCGTGGGGGAGAAAGAACCCCCACCTATGTTGTGTGATATGTTTGCCAGGGAGAAAGCACCCTTCATTTATTCTTGTTTCTTTTAGCCCTTCCTTAAATGGCATAGCATGGGGTGATGGGAGTATTTTTAGACTACACTTGATGCAAATTAAAAGCAACCCATTTATGTTTGTATACATTGTGAAGAAAGAGGGGGCTAATGCTCATGGTGCTATTTGTTTCTCTCTTTCAGCTGGACAGGCTTCCTTTACATCCTCTCTACGTTTTCATGAGCCACTTCCAAGCCCACGCGCAGACCCTTCTGGCAGGTGTTAGAGTCCCCCTGAACCTCATCCCACCACCAGACATTCAGAAAAGTTTAGCTTAAAGGCCTAAATATGACAGTTGCCACTGGAGATCCCACAGATGAAGCAGCAGCTTTGCCTGGTCATCCTCAGGACACCTACAACCCAGAAACTGACCATGAATGTTGCGAGAGGGTGGTCATCAACATCTCGGGACTGCGCTTTGAAACACAGCTCAAGACACTTGCTCAGTTTCCAGAGACCTTGTTAGGAGACCCTAAAAAGAGAATGAGATATTTTGATCCCCTTCGGAACGAGTATTTCTTTGATCGAAACAGACCCAGCTTTGATGCTATTTTGTACTACTACCAGTCTGGTGGCAGATTGAGGAGGCCTGTTAATGTCCCCTTAGACATCTTCTCAGAAGAGATAAGGTTTTATGAACTTGGGGAGGAAGCTATGGAGATGTTTCGGGAGGATGAAGGTTACATCAAGGAAGAAGAGCGGCCTTTACCAGAGAATGAGTTTCAGAGACAAGTGTGGCTGCTGTTTGAGTATCCAGAAAGCTCTGGGCCAGCCAGGATTATAGCAATTGTCTCTGTCATGGTCATTTTGATCTCAATTGTAAGCTTCTGCCTGGAAACTTTGCCTGTGTTCCGGGATGAGAATGATGAGATGCATGGCAGCAGTAGCAACCCAAGCTCTTACTCCAATAGCACTATGGGGTCTCAGCAGCAAACATCTTTCACAGACCCTTTCTTTATAGTGGAGACGCTCTGCATCATTTGGTTCTCCTTTGAGTTCTTGGTGAGATTCTTCGCCTGCCCCAGCAAAGCTGGCTTTTTTACCAACATCATGAACATCATTGACATTGTAGCCATCATCCCCTACTTCATCACACTTGGAACGGAACTGGCTGAGAAACCAGAAGATGGCCAACAAGGTCAGCAGGCAATGTCTCTTGCCATCCTCCGAGTGATCCGCCTGGTGAGGGTCTTCAGGATCTTCAAGCTCTCCAGGCACTCCAAGGGATTGCAGATCCTCGGACAGACCCTGAAGGCCAGCATGAGGGAGCTGGGCCTCTTGATATTTTTCCTCTTCATTGGTGTCATTCTCTTCTCCAGTGCTGTCTACTTTGCAGAGGCCGACGAGAGCGATTCTCAGTTTCCCAGCATCCCTGATGCTTTTTGGTGGGCCGTGGTTTCCATGACAACAGTTGGCTATGGAGACATGGTCCCCACGACCATAGGTGGGAAAATAGTTGGTTCCTTGTGTGCCATTGCAGGTGTATTAACAATTGCCTTACCAGTGCCGGTTATAGTGTCCAATTTCAACTACTTCTATCACCGTGAGACAGAAGGAGAGGAGCAAGCTCAATACTTGCAAGTCACCAGCTGCCCAAAGATCCCTTCTTCCCCTGACCTAAAGAAAAGCAGAAGTGCCTCCACTATTAGTAAGTCTGATTATATGGAGATACAAGAAGGTGTGAATAATAGCAATGAGGACTTTAGAGAGGAGAACTTGAAAACAGCCAACTGCACCCTAGCTAACACAAACTATGTTAATATAACCAAAATGCTAACTGATGTCTAGCTAATAATAATAATAATAATAAAACAACCCTAATAACTTATTTAAAACTTGAGTGGAACAATTGCAGATGTTGCATAATACCTTGCATTGTAGTTAATACAAAATGTTCTACAACGTGTATTGGTTCTGCATGGGAAGCAATAGTCGTGTAAGTGACTCTTTTTAACATTTGATGCTCAATAAGCTTTCATGCAACCCCTCCTCCCCATCACAGACTTCTGTTTTCCAATTGTATGGCACAATTAAAGCAGAATTATGTCACAATATCAAACGAAAGGCATTGGAGAAAAACAAAACAAACCACCTCCCCATGTAAACAACAGTAACAAACAAATGCCAACTAGCATAAATATAATTTAATATAGAACTCAGCCCATGCAAAAATATATCCCAAGGAAATAGTATGCAGCTATACATCTAGCTTTCAAGCTTCAGGAATTATACAAAAGGTCATGCATAGTTTAATTAATGGAACATCCATCCAAATTACTTTAAGGTTCAGATTTCCAGATCAGAAATGCCAAAGGGAGAATATACCATGCAGGGTCATGCTTCTGAACCAAAAATGCTGCATTGGATTCATCCACTGCAGCACGCCAGTGTGAGGCTCGCGGGAGGCACTGTTTAGTAGGACATTTTCTGTTGCTTTGGTAGAGATACATCAAGAGCCTGGAGACATTTCTTTTTTTAAAGAACACATGTATTATTATTTTTTGCTGGTTTGGGGGTCACCAACATATTCAGGACTGAAAAGCATCTTGTTTCAAATGCTGGAGCAACTAAGCTGTGGCCTAGAATATATTTATACTGCAGTGAAATTTAACCCAGTATTACAGTAAAGCTGCATGGATATTTGTTGCATGGATCTTAATATTTAATACACGAAAATATATCTATTTTCTTAAGTAGACTATAGAGTATACCTGTTTATAGTGTTTCTAGATTCTCCAGTGGCTTGAAGGAGATTTGTGGACATAAAAGGGGGAGAAAGGGAATGTGTTGGGGACGGATGTGGGCCGACCACAAATTTGATAACCAAGGCAAATGCCCTAGGTGTTTGCTTGCATGAGGGTGCAACCCAGGAAAGGTGATATGAAGAGTACACACCTGTCTTCCACATGTAGGGAGGAACTGGTAATTTATTCATAGTGGTATCATATGCAGAGATGTACATCTGACCAGAGATGGCCAGGCTTATTTGTGACTAAAACATTGCTGGGTGACACTGTTAGGCAAATGTAAGCTCAGACCCACAACTAATATTGCTCACAGTGCTTGGAGGCGTAGATAGTTTGAGCTAAGATGCAACAGTATAGAGTGCCAATGACTTTGTCTGAACTTTGTTGACTTGCGTCTTCTGGTGGTGACGGGGCTTATACGATAATGCCAGCCCAAGGTCATTTGTTCAGGTGTGGGCAATGTTGCCCCATGGAAATGAGTCTTGACGGAGTTGCCCCAGCTGAGGAGATGGCTGTGGATGGATACATGCAACGCATGGCTTGGAAGTTAAGGCTTCCTTTGGGATGTTGCTGTCATGTGGTGGAGTCAATATTCCTCAGCTTTAGAGTAAATACAATCCAAGTCTACTCCCAGTGGGCTAATCTGTTGGGGAAATGCCCATGGGCAATATGGTAGCAGAATTTGGCCAACCTCACACATCAGAATCAGATCCATTCTTTTGAGTCAAGGAGGCAATAAGATTCCTGGTTGGACTGCTCTTCATAGACTGGCATTTTAGCTTGGTAGTGTCCCGTTGATGCGGCTGCTTCAGCTCTCAAGGGAAAGGATAGCCCTTCAGTAAAGGCTCATTCTGCTATCAACATCCTAGGAAAGTGGCTTTTGGAACCAGTGTGTAAAAGAGTGAGGCCAATATCCCCTTCTTCTCATCAGTAATAAAAAAGATGATAACCCTTCTAAGCCAACAGGATTTGGTTCTGAGGCCACCATGGGTACTCCTTACAGTGTCCTATTTCCTGAGCTGCTAAACACGGTATGATTATTTGGAATAGCACACTCAGATACACACACAGTGTGTGTGTGTGTGCTCTTATATCATATTTAGAAGCTTAGGATTTGGAGACTATGTGAGAAGTCCCCTATATATATACCCACCCATGCCATAGGGAGCAAATGGAGCAAAACTGAAATCCCCAACCAGATCAATCATGTGGATCCTGCAAGTATTACTCAGGCAGCTTGCTGATGGGTCCTGATCTTGCATTGATATGGATGATGGATGCCTTGTGAGGACCAAAAATTCACCAGACCAAAAGAACATGTTGAGCATGTGATCTGATTGGATCTGTACAGAATTTGGCAACAAGGTAAAGCAGATCCACTGTTGCTTATTTACTTATTGCACCCCACTCAACTCACTTTCAGCAGCTTAGCATTGAAAATGATATAGGTTGAATGGGATACATGCTGAAGCAATCACCTAATTTATTGATCGTGTGCCAAACTCTATACAATCCACTTAACCTGCATTCTTAATGAACCACCTGGGCTGTGTGTATTGGCCCTAACCCATATGCTTGTGCCAAGAGGGGCAATATATCTCAACAACACCTGCCCTCCCTTTAAACAGAGTATAAGCCACATGCAGGCCTTGTTTTGATTCTACACCTGTTGCAGGACAGCTGACTCTCACTTTTTGAATATGAACCCCCCCCCAAACATTAGATTCACATGATAAAATGTGGGTCAATTTCTTGATCTTCCCTCAACCCTGCACTGCCCCTGCCAAAGAAAGGCAATTTCTCTAACCTTCTTGGCAGTCACTGCTGAAAAGATGTATAAAAAAGAAAGCTGTCAGGGTTTTCTAACGGCTTATGATTTGAGGGGCTTACTAATTATTTCACACATCAGCAGTGCTGGAGTTTGCATTGCAGGATTAGGGCCACCTATGTCACAGTGCCTTGGACCATTCTTGTAGAATGCTGACAAAGGAAGAGCTTGGCATCACATCTCTAATTGCTTGCTCTCCAACTATGCTATGAATTTAAAAGGCTAATTTTGGAATATCTTCCATTGCAGTGAGCAGGGATGGAATAATCCTTCCTATTGCCTTAAGCCACTGCTAAAAATATTCTGTCCTCTCCACCACTCTGTCTGTAAAGGAATCATAAATATTCTTGGTTAAAGATCCATGCAGGATACTCCTGTACATTAGGGGGAAATCATTGCAGTCTATGCAAAAAAAATCATGAGGAAGGGGGTTACTTCAGGGACTTCCATGGGGGTACTGTCCTCATGTAATTATGGGGTAGGATCCATGAGGCATCAGAGAGTAAGGGAGGCAAAGTTAAGCCTACTGATTTCAATAGTAGTTGAGGTTATTCATGCTAGGAGTATGTTCAAGATAGAATTGCGAGGATGAAGCCTACTACTTCTGAGGAGGGGACTCACTGCTGCTATTTCCCAGCATCTTAGGTTGGATCCCGACCAGTACTATTTCAGTGAATTTTCAATTGCTGCTCTTGTACTTGGGTTTGCACATTATCTAACTCCACACTTGTTTTCATGCATTTCCCATTCTGCCTCTCGGAATTGCAGACTTTGACTTTTTAATGCCCTCACCCTAATATAAAGTTGATTGTATTTGCAGTCCCAACTGTGTGCTCACTTATTGACCACCCCCTGCCCCAAAAGGTGCAGCATATCAAAAAGGAGTGGTCCCTGTATGGGAAGTAACCTTGAAGGGGCATCCTAAATTGCCTGGTCTCTGCATCAAAAGAAATTGGCACCAGAAGTGAAACTCAATGCATATGTTAAGATACAGGTAGAGGAGCAATCTGAGACTTCATCTGAGGCCAGTTGCATAAAAGCTTACACCTCTTATGAAACAAAAAGTTTGTTTATGAGAAAGAGGTGGGAGGGGAAACCCAGGAATGAAACTCTAAACAGGACTAAAAGGTCATGAAACATTATCTTGAAATGTACCTCCTTATTGCACAAAACTCCATAGCAGAGCAGGTATGAAATGTTGGACGCATCTTTATAGCTTATCATCTTGCTGCCTGATCCATCCCATCTGCAGTGGCAATAACCTGAAGCTTTAGATCCTTATCTAGCACCATCCTGGACTATGACCCTGGGCATTTTTTCTGGTGGCTCAGTTTAAGAGTGCCAATCTAGGAACTTTACAAAAGTCACTATGGTTTGTCAAGCTTCTACGGGGAATAGCTGCACACTTGGGAGTCTATCTATCTATCTATCTATCTATCTATGGCACTGGATCTGGACCCAGACAGTTAGTGTGAGTCCTTTGCTGTAGCTTTTCAAACCCATTATCAGGAGACCCCAAGGCTGATGTAAATCAAAACAACCTACCTTCTGGGCCTTAACTGTGACTGACCACTATCAATGAATGTTGAAAAAAAAGCAGAAGTTAGGAAATCTAAGCAGTTGGTTTTTCATTTAAGTTATTGCTTAATGGTGAGATGCTGGAATATTGATTCCATAGACCGAGGAAGTGATGGCCTCAATGTGCTGCAGTTGTCTCTGAAGTATGTTCAGTGGGGCTTACTCATTAGTAAGTGTGTTTGGGATTGCAGCCTTAGATGTGCTGCGGAGGTAGGGAGAGAGGAAGCCAAGAATAACCAGGAGAAACGCTAAGGGCTGCAGTGCTCTGTTGCATCCAAGGTCAGGTTTAAATGGAATGTATGATTGTTTTGACTGTCGTATCTGCTGCCTGGACACTGTGTAGGCAACTTGAACTGCGGCAGGATGCCAACCCTCTAATCTACGAATTGGCTTGACCCAACCACTGTGCTAGAGCTATCTCACGCCCCGTACCTTTGCAGAGTGTTATGGCGCAGAGCTGAAACTGCAGACCACAGCAGGTGGGAAGGAGCAGATGGTAAAACGGGAGTGTCATGATGAATGCTGGAATAAGGATGGCAGGATCTGCAGGTTTAAGGCAGGGCTTCTGTCGTGAGGTTTGCCTATGCGGTGTCCAGACTGCAGTCCAATTAAACTTCAGCAGGTACTTCTTTACA